CCCCAAAACCCCAAAACCCCAAAACCCCAAAACCCCGATATTTATAGCAAAGATAGAAAGAATTTTTATATAATAATTTGAGAAATGGGACCTAAGGCAAGGTTTATTACACTTTGTGCCATAATAGGAATACTGTTGCTGGCTGATTTCGTTGCAGCTAATGAATCTAGAGACATGAATATAACTCATGGCCATTCAGATGAGTATTTCGAAGAAAAGAAACTCCAAGCCAAACAAGGAAAGGCATCAGGAAAGGATAAGACTGTAGTCCATATTATTCCACATAGCCATGATGACGTTGGATGGTTGAAGACACTAGATCAGTATTTCTGGGGTCTCCGTGAAGATATTCAGAGAGCTAATGTTTATTTGATCATTGACAGTGCTATCACTGAGTTGACACTCAATCCAGAGAGGAGATATACAGAAGTCGAAATGGCCTTCTTTATGAGGTAATATTCAAAACTTATATATAGATGGTGGGAACAACAAGATGATGCTAAGAAAGAGACAGTTAGAAACCTAGTCAATGAAGGCAGATTGGAAATAGTTAATGCTGGCTGGTCGATGAACGATGAAGCTTGCCCTTATTATACCCAGATTATTGATAATATGATGATTGGGCATAGATTCCTAAAAGAAGAACTTGGAGTAGCTACGAATGTTGGTTGGCATCTAGATCCTTTTGGACATTCCTCTGCAAATGCAGCCTTGTTTGAAGATATGGGCTTTGATGCCTTCTTCTACTCCAGGCTTGACTACCAAGATAAGGCTAAGAGACTAGAGGAGAAATCAATGGAGTATATCTGGAGGCCTTTTGATAAAGATTCTTCAGCTGAAATTTTCACTCATGCCATGTTTGATCATTATTATCCTCCTCCAGGATTCTGTTGGGCAACATCATCTTGCCATTATTACGATGATCCAATTGTCAACAATGAAAAGCTAAAAACTCATAACTACAAGGAGAGAATAGCAGAGATGTACGAATGGCTTGCTCATATGAGAGATCATTACAGAACTGGCAACCTTCTTATACCAATGGGAACTGATTTTTCATACAAAAATGCACATAAAATCTACATCAACACTGATAGACTCATCAAATATTTCAATGAGGAGTATGATGACTTTGAGTTGGTTTATTCAACTCCTTCCCAATATGTGAAGGCTGTTCACGATTCTGGAGTCGCAATCCCTCTCAAATACGGAGATCAGTTCCCTTATGCTGAGAGAGAGTTTAGTTATTGGACTGGTTACTTCACAAGTAGAGCTGTTTCAAAGGGAAACATCAGACAACTTGAGAGACATTCTTCCAATTTCAACAAGCATTGGACACAAGCAATCCTTAATGAGAAGGTATCTAAAGACCAGAAAATTAAGCTGTTGGGACTTTCTCAAGAAGCCCTCAGGGTTTTAGGAGTTATGCAACATCACGATGCCGTAACAGGAACTGAAAAACAACACGTGGCAGATGACTACCAAAAACAAATAGATAAGATTGAGGATTCAACGAAGAAAGCAAATACTGAGACTCTAAAGGCAGTCTTTGAAGCAAAATTTTCTGAAGGAATCTTCAAAGATATTATTCACTGCAACAGAGAGGTAGACCAGTACCTGACCTGTCCAGAGCATACATTTGATATAGAAGAAGACCCTATTCTTATTGTTGAGAAGAATGATCTGGAATCAATCCTCAGAGTTACACTCCCTCATGCAAATATGAAACTTATCGATCCAAAGAGCTTCATGGATATTCAAGGTCAATCAATTCATTGTCCAGAAGATAGAAATGGCTGCATCCTTCATGTTAGAGATAAGAGAGTCGGAACTCTTGTGTATAAATTTGTTAAGGACGAGCATGCCTCTCACCAACTCAAGAGTCAAAGTTGTGATAGAATCTGGAACCAATACCAATCAATCATGAATACACATATGACTCCAACAGAAGCTACTGTTTGGGTTGTCTCATGTGATACTCCAAAGGACGATCCCTTCTTTGCTGATAGATCAGATTGTGCTGATAGAAACATCACGTTTGGACTTAGAGCATATGACGGTTATGATGGGCATGGACAATCTTCAGGTGCTTACATCTTCAGGCCAGCCAATGGAACTACTGATTCTTCCCCATACTGGGAGATAAACCAGTTGAATTGCTACAAAAAGGATGATAATACTTATGGAGCTCTAGAATACAAGTCTGATCAAGGAACTGTAACACTCTCTTTGATGGATAATGACCCAATAGGAATTCAAGTATTCACAGAATTCAATGGAATCCATGAGACTAAAATTGGAAAGGAAGTAACAATGAACGTAGAGGTACTCAATTTTAAGAACGAAGAAATCTTCTACACAGACTCTAATGGTCTCCAGATGCAGAAGAGAGTTCTGAATCAGAGACCTGACTTTGATCTTCAAATTCAGGGTACTGAAGAAATTACCGCTAATTATTACCCAATCAACAGCGCTATTTCCGTAGTGGATACTCTCTCAGGTCATGGATTCACTGTACTGAATGATAGGTCTCAAGGAGGAAGTGTACTTAGAGAAGGAAGAATCGAACTTATGATAGACAGAAGACTCTTCGCAGATGACGATAAGGGTGTAGAAGAGGCATTAAATGAGACAGATGCTAATGGAAAACCTCTTCCAGTTCATATTCATAACATTTGGTTGCTTGAGAAGGATCACCAGAATTTTTCGGAAGAGAATGGATATAGTAAGATAAAGATGGCTCAGAGAAGACTTTCATCTAATTCTGACATGACTATTGCTAGGAAGAATGCTATGGCTAACTTTGATGAGTCTCAAATCGAGAGCCTCTCTGCTAGTAATGGAAACCTCTATACACAAGTGTATCCTGTTGCACTGGATGAAATAATTATTAGAGTTGAAAACCCTGAAGATTGGTATACTGCTCCATCGATGCAATATATTTGCTTCAATATTACTGAGATTGCTGATGATTTGTACGCACAGGCAAATAATTACAACCACCCATCATCAATCAGTATTCAGGAGGTAACTCTTACTGCTAGTGAGACTGTCGAGGAAAGAGAGGCTCACAGAATCACCTGGAATATTGAAGGAGAGGAGTTCCCAACCAAGATTGAGAAGAAGGAGAATGCACTATACAGACAAGAAATGAGAACATTCAGAGTCAAATATGGCTCCAGAATGAATGGTTCTCAGATTGTCAAGGAGTAATTTCCACAAAAAGTTCCAATAATTCTCTGGAAATAAGGGGTTTTGGGGTTTTGGGGTTTTGGGGTTTTGGGGTTTTGGGGTTTTGGGG